TAATTTCCCACTTTCTGGACGATGTATTTTTTGACGGAGCGGAAGTAGAATGTTGAAAACAGTCCCACGGAACACGGGGCAAAGAGGAAGCGACCGCGATTAGGCGAGGCATGTTCGTGTTACGAGCCCGCTTCCGGCCCACGTAGAACAGATTCCACGGGAACTTGGTACCAACGACGGATCGTCGTTTAATATCCAGGAAGCTCGCCGTTCCAGCTCCGATCGGAATTTCGTGTCCGAAAGTTTCACGCGTGACTTCGCGAAACGATCGGAAACCCGTCCGACTAGCGTTAATACGCGACTACTACGACGAACTTATCTTTTGATCGTCTGAACGCGAGAGCTCGCCGAACGATCGAGTTTTCCGCGATCCAAACAATATAGCTCGTCGATACGCCACACTGCCCGGTGGGGGTTGGTAACACGCGTAACTCGATATTCCAGAATTAATCGATCGAGTTTGGAATTTGCTACGATAGATCCTATCGCGAAAGGATTTCGACTCGCTCGGAAATCTGAGAAAAATTCACCACGAAGTGTAGAGATTTGGGATATCGAAGAATTTAACCCCTTGACCTACAATATCCTGTCAGAGTCATGATGAAAATTTTCAACTGAATTTGAAAAGTAGAAAAGTGTTATTTATTCTTTTTTAAGTATAAATTAAATATTTTTCTATTGTCAATCATTAACTTTTGAAGTAAATATAGACGTAGAATAAGCATTCAAATCTTTTCTTTCCCTAATAAATTACTTTACTCAAGTAGTTATATCGATCAGAATTAAGAAATAAATCATAAGGCAAAAGGTTAAAGGAGGATTTCTTCTAATGAGAAATTTCTTAAATTTCTCTTTTGAATCTAAAATTTTGGGAAAGAATAACATGATGTATTTATGGCTAGAGTTTATAGTTTTTTCAATGCATATTGGATTCGTTTAAAGAATTAACCCTTTGCATTCCAGAGGTGCCTCTAAGTCACCAAATGATTTGACACAGCAAAACTGTAAACTTTGATATTTAATATTAAATTTTGTATAATGCATGAATGTACGAAATATTGAAAGAAAACAGTTCTCCTCCTCGATGCATGTGAGATTTCTTAATTCGATTTAAGAAAATGTCGTCTGTATCTCATTAGAAATATTGAATATTTCCGGTGAAAAACTTCTGGAGTGCAAAGGGTTAATATTAATTTGGTGTTCGATAATTGTACCTGATAAAATTAATATTGTTTTCCCGAGAGGAATGAATCGAGGAAATGAAATGTACAGGTTTGGTAAGTTAGTTTCTTCAATCGTCAAATTATTAGCAATAATAAGTTTAATATTATTATAGAATTAAACATTATTTTAATATTAGTAACATATAGAACCAGATTGTTGATTAGTCATATTGATAAATCAATATACTCTTTATAATATTGCGATAATTATAGCCTGGTACTGTAAGAAGTCATGCATAAAGAATTAATCCCAATTTTGCCCCTTGTTACCGAGAGATGCCAACTTTATCTAAAATTGCTCGTCCAGTCCCGAATTTGTTTCGTCCGCTGAATATCATCAAGGTTTATGTTTATCGTGTCCGCGGCTGCGAGAGAAAGATAACTGAACAAAGTTAATGTACATACGTACGCGGGGGTCGTTCATCATCCCCCGGTTTGTTTCTCCCTATTCATTTACTTCTTGGTCGTTGATTCATACGGAACCGGCGTCACGGCAGAATGAGTCGTTGCGGGGTGAACCAATTCCGCGAAGTCTCTGTTTCAACGATATCCTTATCAAAGACGGAATCGAGTTTCGGAGCGGCAGGCTTTACCGACCGAAAAGGAACAATTAAACGGAACCCGATTGCAACACAAACCTGATACCGTGCTTATTAAGAACCTGTCCAAATATCCCCACGAAATTATTCGACTACAATCCCCGACATTAAAATCACAATCTCTCGCGTTTGAACATTTTCGTTCCGTTCGCGGCGAAAAAACATTGGATAATTGGAAAATGAGAATTATGAAGAGGGTTTAACATTCTTTTCCTTAAATTAGGCAAACAGAAAAGTGAAACCGTGTAAGTAGTCACTGTAGATTCGAATATCTAGCCCTTTCTATGAACAACAAGAATTTTCTCATTATTAAATTGTAAGTAGATAAGTAAATAATATTAAATTTTATGTCCGACTTGTATAAGATTATTCTTTAACTCTTTGCTCCCTTGAAATAAGATTTATTTCTTTGATATGCTACAAGTACTTTGTTATTAATAATTTATTGAAAAAGTGAGAAATTCTATACTCTATGGTTGTGTTTGTTTAAAAGTATAATTGATAACAGAAGAATAATAATTAATTTTAAAAAAAGGGTTAATGAGAACTCATTTTCTACAAAATTATCAAATTTATTCGATCACCTCAAAACACCCAAATCACCAGAGACAATTTCTTTCATCCCTCAAAAGAAATTACTTTTCCATTCACGAGAAAATCGTGAATCATCCATTCCATTGGTACGATTAATTTCTGCAACAATCACGAGGAAACTACCACTCGGAAAATGGAGGTCGGATCACGGAAGGAAGAGAGTTCAGGTTACGGAAAAAAGAAACAATATTCTGCAAGCGTTTCCGTAATCGTATCACGGCCGGAATTGCTCGTCGAATTAGACCAAAGTGCAAAGAGAATTTAATTTGGTTCGAGGCTCCCGTCGATCGGCCCGGAAACCCAATGAAATCGAACGTATTTATTCGGGCTACCGGCTCGACGGTTCGACAAATTTCGCGAGCCCCGTTTTCGGAATATTTCACGTAGAACGCGCACAGAATGGTAGAAGGGCGGGGTCAGGGGTCGAGAGGGTGACGCGATACGTTTTAATTGAATTGTTGCGTGTTTTGTAGGATCGGTTACAAACTATATGCTGGACGCATTTCAATTTCGATATGGGTCTATAAATTACGGGACGGGCGGAAAACGAGGACCGAACTTAACGCTGGTTCGGCACTTTGTGTAATTAAAAGCGCGGCATGTGAAACGGGAAGCGTCGTTACGCAGATTTTTGTAAGGAAACTGGCACGCTTTGATCTGGCACGAGTGACCCATTCAGGTTTTGTTTTAGCGATTGTGTTTTTGGTAACGTTGTGCGGTACTAAAGGATTTGGTTGAATACTACAGGATGGGCATTATGTACTTCCATATAAAATACGTAGTATCTAGGATTTTTAGTATAACTTAAGATATTTTTAAGAAGCGTGAATGCGAGAATGAATGTGCGCGGAGGGCAATAAAAGAGGAAAGCCTAATGGTCAAAAGAGAGTGGCTTGCACAAAGTCGCAGGCCCAAGGTTTCTACGTCGACACTGAAGGGATATGTTTGAGAGTTTGCAGAGAGTGCAAGTGAGAAGAATGATTGTGGGGGTGAGAATGATTTTTTGGTTTGAATGTGTGAAAGAGAGTCTGTGCAGAGAGAGTCGTACGTTGGTCTTCATGGCAGTAAGTTATGTGTTGCTATTACATAGTTCATTATGTTTAAACATTACTTGTTTTATTATTAATAAACGTAGCTATTTATTAGAGTTTTCTATATTCCCATATATTATTCCCGATCCACACATATCTAAACTATAAATATTGTTTTCTTAGTTGAACGAATTTGGAATAATTATTTTACGAAGGATATTAGACGCTTGTATAAGTACTGTATCACAAGAGAATTTTCTTGTTATTGCTTTATTACTAATGTAATGTGTCTAGAAGTGAAACTATTTTTCAAACCATATCAAATATTTCACACTTCTAACATACCACTAATCGCGAAATAAAACTGAAACTCGTAATTTTGGGTGCAGTTATTTCACTCTTAACCACTTAACTGCTTTCGAGGAGTATACACTATTTTCTTAGACAAATATGTAATTGTTCTTCGTTCCGCTTTAGTTTTTCGTTAGAATATATTATAGATGCGTTTGACGAGTGTACACTTCATTATTTGATTATATTGTGCACGCAATGAGAGATCCTACAAATTATATTCTACAGTTAACTGGTTAAAACCATAAATTCCAGAATCAAACGAAGACAACTTTAGTACTTCCCCCTATTTTCTCTCACTATAAAAGAGGGTGTCGGCGATAATCGGTGGTCAGGAAATACTTCGATCCAACGAGTATCAGAGTTATGTGTTTCGCAAATTTCACCGGGAAATCCTGTGCCGGAGCCCTCGACCAGGCTAGGAGGATCGTCGAGCCGTGTTTAATTGGAAATTTTCGACGAGACCGTCGGAAAAAATTCGACTTGGTCGCGTCCCGTCGCGGTCTCGATAGCTATCGCCGCGTATCGATCGGGAATTATTCCCGCAGCCGCGGTACCGAAGTCAATTTCCCCCGTCCCTCCCGATTCCCCGTCCCACACTGTACTCCACAGCGAACCGGTGAAATTTTCCGGAGCATGTAGCGCGTTTTACACGCGTTCGATTAAGCCCGCCGCCGCGTCGAACCTCGATGCACGGGAACAACGCGTGTCGAACATCTCACCCCCTTCTCGTCGTACCGCGGCAACGAACGGCCGAACAAAGTTGTTCACCGTGTACCGGAGATCCTGTAACACGATTCTGCCTTCTGTTTTCTTCTATCCATTTCGATCTGTCTCTCTCTTTTTTCATTTTGCCTCGCATCTTCCTCGCGTTTCTAGTCGACGTGCTATCCACGCTTGTTGCACGACGACGCGTCGAAACGACGCGCGAAATCGCTGCGCTGCTTGTTAGCCGTTTGGCTGATGCGAGGTTTAGGTGTGTTCTTTTTTTCATGTGTTCCCGGATTAAATGGTGTTTATGGTTTTCGAATCTAGAAAAGAATATTAGGAAGCTTCGATGAGTTTATCGGAGAATTGGAGATTTGGAGATTCCATAAAATGTTTGAGAGTTTAACTTTTTGTTACTTTGGCTTCGGTCGTTTGTTTCGATGAAAACGTCGAAGTGTTAATTAGTGATAAAGAAAATTGCGGTATTTTAATAATAAATCATTTTATTCTCGATTAGTGTGTCTCCGGGTCTCTAAAACCCTACAAAATCTTCTTAAAAAATATAGTCTACATATATTTCTTATACACAAAGTTTTAGATGCTAACTTATCTCTAGGTAACTTCGCAGGATCTCGTAGAAAAACTTGGGGACGAAAAAGTTATTTAATATACATCGGTGCTCGAGGTTTGAAATTACCGTCGGCGAAATAAAACCACTCGAGCGGCTTTCAGGCCGGGTTGGTTTAAAGTCTCTCGCCTCGGTTTCTATTAAGATAATAATAATCAGTGGACCACTCCGCACACAGAAGTAGCAAGTACCCTCTACAACTTGTAATTAAGGGAAGGATCGATGCTTGATACATAGTACACACTTCGCTTTCCGTGCGCGCGGTGCGCAGCGGTGCAGCGGCCGAGTAAATTCATGATCGCATACAATGGGGTTCATTACAAAATAATATTAGCGGATTAATATTAGGTCCGTCCACGAGCTCCGTCGTTTTTACGCGTTTCAATCCCAGGAAAAAGTGGAGCTGGAACGGTAAAGACGATTTGCGCTCTTGCGACGCGGTTAACGTAATTAAACGAAAATTCAACCGTAATAAGATACAGCCCCGATTTCGACAATTCCCAGTGGGAGTCCTGGCAAAAAATAAACGCGAAATTCTCTGGCGTAATAAAATTCTCGTGCGGAAAAGGAATCCGGTTGATTCCGATCTGCATAAGTTAATTCGCGAACGTTCGGAATTCGTTTGAAAAATTCCGTATATTTTTCGACTAATTTGAAAAACATTTCAGCGCGATTGCTTCATCCTTTCCAATGAAATTCGACACCCCTAATAAACAGAAAATTCATCGCCAGGAAACGCGAATTCAATGGATCCGAGAACCGTACTTCAACGCGGCAAATAATTCGACTTCATAAAAATTATTCTACCCAAAGATATATCAAAATAATTCCGCGAGAACCTTCGAGCATTCAAGCCATTCAACGTTTACTAAGTTCCCGCAAAAAAAAAGGAAAAATAAATTCCCAACGTATGGATACGCAAAACGCATACGTAAGTTCTCATTAGCAAGTAAATTTTTAAAAAAGCACGGCGTTCTTTGAAGGGAGAGGAACGAGTTTTTCGGAAAACCCTCGCTCGATATTGCGGGACGATTTGAATGGCGAGGACAGAGGTGCTCTTCTTGTAAAATTCACGGTGAATCGCTTTCGAATTCCGAAATTACCGCGACGCCCACGTGGAAATTGTCAAAAGCATGCCGGTGATCGTCCGTCAATACGTTCGACCGGTCGTGGTGGTACGTACATACGCCGGGGTGAGAATTATGGGCGCGTCGAGTCCCGATCCTCATTCCGCGCATTCGCCCGTTAGAAATTGAAAATCGAGGAAAAAGACGAGCGCGAGCAACGCTGCCGGCCCGCTTTCATATTCATCGTTCCTCCCCTCGTCGGCCCCCGTTCGATCGCCATTAACCCGTTAAGCGCGTAAAACGAGTTATCCTCCGCCTCCCCCTCCGGCCTCGTCATTCGAAAACACCCCGGCTGACGAGCGTAAAAAGTTAACTCATCCACAAACTTTCGTAATTGTGATCGATTGAAAAACGTTTAAATCGTCTGTTTCGCTCTCTAATTTCATTTATGCCCTCTACGGGTGAGGAATTTAGTTTTCCCGAGTCGTTAATCCGGAATTATTAAATAATCCTGCGAAATCGTTAACATAAAAGCTGACTCTCGTAGAACGACGTTCGGGTACGGTTGAAATGGAATTGGAGGAATTTCGTTCGAATTCCGGAGAGTAGTTCGTTTAAATTTAGAATTTATCCGAATTTAATGTGAAGTTTAGTAAAAATTATTGGAAACTAGAGTGTGTTCTTCTTTTTCTTTTCTTTTTGGATTTCGAAGTTTCGAGGAAACGAAGGAAGACATACCTCAGGGGAAATGGAGGAACGTGAAAGGGTTGAAAAGACGCTGGGTCGGAAAACTTGCTGGGGTGGCGATCCTCGGGAACTTGATCTTCTCCCGTTGCTTCGGAATTCTGTATCTTCGTTTCTTGATAATTAGTGCCTCGTTTATTTCCTAGCAGAAAGAAAAATCAGTTATATATACAGTGTAAAAATTAAATACGTATTCGTATAAATATTAATACAAGTTCTTTTCCACAAATTAAACACAACAAAAACAACGAAAATATTAATAATCATCTTCACGAATAATAAACAGTAAAACAGATAATAATTTACAACAACAAACAGCATAGAGACCACAATAAAAAATACTAAATATGAAGAAACACCCCAAATTCCACACGTTATTATTTAACACATTTGATAGCCAAATAAACGCTTATCAAAAGTCTCATTCAACTGAAACGTTCTTAATACAGTAGAAAATGTTTATGTTCATGTAAAAAATGATATCACTTCAGTTCGGATGACGCCGCAAAGTGTGAACACTTTGTATACCGCTTCTAATCAAGGCAACCACTGACTAACTACTAACACGGTTTCTGTCATCGCGTAGGAGTATACGTTTTCACTTTCAAAGCTTTCTAATTTTAAAATCAAAATATAAATGCATCTCGTAATGTCTTTCTAACTTCTTTTGTTTAAACCAGCGTAATTTTAATAGATTACCGATTATTAAACATTCGAAATCTAAAGGCCGATTAATAGGCTAAAACCACCGAAAAAAGAGTCTACACGCCAGTCTCGCAGGTCGAAGATGCACCCACAGCTAATTAAGGGCCATTAGAATCCGCTAGAGAGTAATTCTATCGCGCGGGCAGCATTTCGTAGTTAATACCCGGTATCGGTGCGAGGTAGATACGGCGATGACAGCCACAGGCTGATATACATCCCGATGCATTGTCCCGAACTCCGTGCACGTAGCTAGTGGCAGTGGTGCGCGGGGTGAAGGGTTAGCACATGTACACGAGCTAATGCGCATCTTCGATGCACGAGTTCCATCTGTGTGCGCACGTTTGACCGTAACTTGGACGCCCGTCCACAGGTCCTCCACTTGCTTAGCAATATTGTCTCGCCTGTGTGTCGACGCGTGTTGAGAGAGAGCCAGAGAGAGAGAGAGAGTAGGGGGTGGAACAGGTAGGCGGGGTACTCCCCGATAAAATGATGTCAGCCAGGAGTTACGTTAACGGAGACCAAACAGGAACCCGCGATACCGCTGGATTATGGTAATTCGAGTTGACGTGGCGACTGGAGACTCACCCCTGCCCGCTGTGATCCGGGGTTGAACGGGGGTCGAACAATGGGGACGCGAGGCTTGAAGTCGTAGAAACCTGCGGTCGGGCAAACAGGCTACGGCGAATGGATCGGAGATCCTAGGTGATGTTGACGCATCGCGTTAATCCGTTGGACTGTTTTCTTTCATAACTATTCTCGCTAGAATTACTCGTTAATAATTTATTGGAGATGAAAGAGGATTCTGTGATCTATATGGGTGTTGGATTTAAACCATGACGGTTTGTGACGGAAAAATAATGTTTAATTGGAATTAATCAGAATTAAGTAATGGCATTTATATTTGCTAACTTCTATTTGAGATTTTTTGTAAACAATTGGGTATGCGATAGTGATTTTTTAATTGGATTTTGAAATTCATTTTTTGCTTGTTTCTGCTTTTGGTTTAGAATGTTAATTTTCTTGGGATTTAGAAGACGAAGATAAATGTAAAATGTATATGAAATAAAAGAGTTTGGTTTTAATTGTTCGAATTTTTAGATTTTTTAATTTCGGATAGACGGATATCTCAGGTCATATCCATCAGCTTATCAATTATTGACACTAACCTGTCGACCGACCGATAAAATTACCCTCCCGCAGCCTCGAGCTACCCCTAATTAGCCGTCGATTAATCTTTAAGCTTCCCACCCCCGTAGACCCCATTGAGCTGTGCTCTCCAGCCTGATTTCTTTTTTCCTATTTTTTCGTTCTTTTCTTTAAAACTTCGCGAAAAAATGTTATCCAATTTTTGCAAGCTAACTGTCGAAGTTGCCAGGAGAAATTTCAATTAGCGGGTGGGATCGGCTGCGGGCGCTTGCCTTCGAGACTCTGTATCGCGATAATCGCGTTGCAATTAGGAAAAAGTTGGAGGAAACTTGAGCGATCGTAGCAATTGATTCGGTTAGATCCGTGGTGTTAAGAAACAGGGATTGGTTTTCGGAGAAGAACGAGTGGCGAAATCAATTTGTTGAGTCTAGATTATATAAGGTGTCCCAAATAAGTCACCATTTACTTAGAAGAATGAAAACAAATGCTAAGAAAACAACTAGGTTCCAGTTAAATAAATATCCATTCGCGAAATGAATAGGCAATTGAATTAGTTATTCAACCATCAATTAGATTACTAATTAACATTTTATACTTACAATAACATTTAAAGCACACAAATGACCAAATAAACCACAACACCACCTGTTCCCAATCAATCACAATTCCTCACACCTAACATTTGCAAACCAGAAATTATCTATCAGTCAATTCGACGAAAAATTTCGACAAAGACGTAAAGCTTATGGACCATCAAGACGGTCCCAGAGGTTAATAAAGACCGAGCTCGGACACCGAATCGCCAGTGCGGAATCCCTCGGGAAACAGTGCAGCGAGCGAACACGCAACATTAACGGCAAATGTCGAGGCTCGGTTCGCCCGGGCCCGACAATCCGTTGAAATTTGTTGGCCGATTGCGTCGCGGCGATCGCGGTCCAACGAAATTGTTACGTTATAATCGACTTCCGTCTGCGATACATCGCAAGAGCGAGACAAACGGAGAGAAAGAGAGAAAGAGAGAGAGAGGAGAGACCGTGTGTAGGAGAATCGCCGTTGGAAAATGTCGAAGCAACGAGCCACGAAAATTATTGTAGCAATATTCCGCAACAGTGGAGGAGGATATGCATCGTTATATACCGTGGGACGGAAATGGCGGGCCGACTGCAGCCCCGACGTTCCCTAATACGATACATTAAAGGGTACAAAGGGTCCGCGGATTACGAATCGGTATTTATGGCCGACGGGACGTCGGCCGCCTGTGAAAATCGATGGGAAGCTAACTTAGCGATAACACTGTCCTGATTGCCGCGGTATGCGCAAACGAAACGTATCGAATTGTACACCCCGGATGTTTGCACAAACATAGACGCACACGCATGCCACGATTCGATTCGCAGTAAACGAAGTCGAACTGATATTTATTTACTTTTCGTCAGTGTGTCGTGAACGTGTATATAAAATGAAAGTTTCGTTAAATTTTATTCAGTCGCGCGTATGGTTTGTTTTTGTTTGCAATTCATTGAACATTAAACAATGAAGCGGGTTGCCTATAAATCTGTATTCAAATTGTAATAGAGTTTTTCTTACAAGTGTGGCGTTTATATAATAAATTAATGGGGATGTCAAATAAATTTGAAGACAAGGAATTTCGAAACGATTCGAGTGATCGCAAAATCTTAGTCCATAGTCACGACTTCTGAAACATGAAAAAATTATACTTCGATGAAACATCTTCGATTCTAGCCCAATTAATCTTTCTACCTTCAAACTAAAGATACCTTATCCATCACAGATTTCAAATATCTAAGATTAACAGTATCAACATTTTCTTCTTCACTCTTCGAAAATTACACCGTATTGATATACATATATCACCCTGTATATATAGAGTGATACGCTATCAACACAATGTATGCACAATCCTCTACAAAAATTCATCGCCAATGTCAATAAAAATGTCAATAAATAACTATAAAACAGTATCAAAAATCCAAGTCCTAAATTCGACAGTAAAAAAAGAACCAAGAGTATTCGAAACCGCCCAGGCGAAACCTACAATTCCCGATATTATTGCCGCGCCACGTGCACCATCCAAGCATAAAGGGTTAAACCCAAAGTTGCCTCCTACGAGAACCCTCGCGAACGATATGAAATCGCGATGCATCCCTCGCGTCTTTCACGGACCAGAAATCACGGGCGACATTGCAACTGTGGGCACAATATATCGCGACCCGTTCCTCTCCCCTCCTTTCCGCCCATCATACGATATAAATATAGATGGGGACGAGTGTAATGTCGCCGGTATAACTTTCCGCCTACGACGCAATAAGAAATAACGATACGCGACTGAAAACGCTAATACGACCATATAATATCTCTCATCGGTATTGACTAGGAACGACGACGCAGGAAACGCGGCGGGGTTTCCGCGAGTGTTCCGTCCGCGTTCGAGCATCTTCCCTTCCTCTGAAACGCCGAGCCGCGTCCGCTCCCGATACGCGTGGCAACCTTATTGCCTATCTTCACGCGGTATTAACCGTTTCCAATATTGAACGTTCGCGACTGCCACGAGACGCCCCGCAAACAATTGCTTGCGGGAATAATAAGCGGCGTAACGACGTTCGCGGAACGTAAAATAGAGAGAAAATACAGAAGAGAGAATAATTATAGAATGGTATGATGCAGAATTTGATTTGAGAAAAGTGTGGCGAGTGAAATATGGTTGATGAAAATTTTAGTGGACGAAATGAAAAGAAACTAGTGGTGTCTTGTGTTTTTTGTATAAGTATGATTGATTACATGTAACCTATTGACGAATGAAATTAGAAAATGTAAGATAGAAACAGATGAAAATTGGATTTAGATTTCTTTCAAGGCACATCTCCTGCACAACGGAGAATAAATTTGAAAAATCACTTGTTTTTTAAGTTGTCCACAACTTCCTGAATTTGAATGCGAAATTTGAAATTTTTTGATCGAAATGGTTATTTGAACCTATATTTGTTAAGAGTATTTTGTTGAATTTCTTTGTTGCCTAGTGTTAAAGTTATAAATTCGCAACTTTCATCTGCAACCTATAGATACTTGAATTTCTGAATATGAAAGATAATCTAAGGGAGAAAGATAGCGAGGAAATGCTTAGGACGGCGTAAAATATGTGTGCAATAGATTCCGTCAGGCTTAATAGAGTAACACGACCGAATTAAAAACTGGCTGTGCCCGGATGCGATGACGGCCACTATAAATTCCGTGAAGCCGGCACGCTGGGGCATCGAAGGCAGCAAGAACATTGCTGGAATCCCGTTGATGCCTTCGGCGATATACCCCTTGTTAGTGGAAAATCGAGTTGAACCAGGGGCAGCCGATTCCGTCCGACCCCCCATCTTGTCACGGTCACCCTCCATAATGCCTTACTTCTGCCGTTTTATTCTCAACCTTTTATATACTGTCCCATAAAAATTGCCCCGCTCGTAATCTCTACGATCCGAGGACAATAATATACGAACTTGAACGTACTTCGGTAGAAATGAAAAAAAAGAGAAGACCCTTACCAACCCACGATATTTCAAAGAAAATTAAGAAAGTTTCCCGACGATAAACGACGATTAGGATTCATCGATCTTTTTGTCGATGATTTATATTTTAAGTGTGCGTGTACAGGCTGTGCCTCGAGGAATACGGACTTCTTAATTGTCTGGTGAAAAAGCAACGAGAGTTAACTTGGATGATTTCGATGATTTTTATCTAAAAACTGATCGTGTTTTTGTAAGTAACTACAGTGATTAACGTTATTCCTTTTACAGATGAAATAGTTTCAGAGGGTATAACAGGGTAAGGAAGTCAAAAATGTCCTTAGACCGATTTTTTTCGAGAAAGTTTCCTTTGATAGCTTACCAATAAAAAACATTGTACACCGATTTTCAGCTCTCTATCTCAATCAGAAGGGTAGATACAAGGTAAATTCGAAGTATCAGCTTTTGTCCCATTTTCCCTATTTAATAGTAAATAAAAATTGTAAAAAAAATTCAGAAACATTTTTGGCATAACAGTGCATAGCTGAGAATTTTTTGAAATGTTTCTATTCCAAAGTCTTCACGTGAAAAATGAGAAACTCCCCCAAAAAAATGAAAATTTTGCAGTGAAGCATTCGAGCGGCAACTTTTTCATTTTTACAGTGGTATTATATTAAGTATGTAGACATATTAATATGACAGACATTCTCAAATTTTTTGGCTTGCCGCGCCATCATTAAAAAAATGAAAAATTAATTTTTAGTAGTAAGTTAGTTAGTAATTAATACCTTTACTTTCTGTAGTGTACTTTGTATAGTATCTATGTTATGT